GACTTCAACAGTTCAGCATCACTGGGCGACGACCTCTCTTCATCAGGGAACTGCAAGATTTCTGCATCTGGGGACTTTAATACATCAGAATCGCCACTGGTCATAAGGGGTTTCAAAATCTCAAATTCGGGAGATTTTGCATTGTCAGCAACATCACTGACCACATTATTGTTGCCTCCATCGGGGAGCTGCAACATCTCGGCACCAGGGAATTCTTCTTTTGCAGATTTGTCAGCAACGCCGCTGATCACAACCTCATTGCTCTGGATCCCCTCTCTAACTTCTTTCCCTATTGCTGTCTCTTCATCGCAGCTGTCATCACCCACTGTGGTTCTCTGCCCCACTTCCAGCCGAATGCTGCTTATTATTGCTTCAAAAGATAGTTCGTTTTCGTTGTCATACTCTGTTGTTTCTTCTTTCATTACTTCCCACAGATTTCTTAGGGAATTTGATAGTAAAAGTGCATCTCTTTTACTTGTTTCCTGCGTCTTCAGAACACTACTGATTCCACCCAGACAATCTAACAGCCTGCTGTAGATGTCTGGGTCTTCATACTGGTCCTCGTAAGGAGGGGACCATTGGCGTGATTTTTTTAGATATTGAAAGGGTGGGCAGGACCCCTGACACCCCCCTAAATCCGCCACTGTTTGTGACCTACATGCATTTACATGTACATGTAGCACTGTACAAGGGTCGCGTAAATGTGGGGAATCACCCCCGTCATCGCTATATTTAATTGGGTTATTTTCTTAAGTTTCGGTATCATTATAAAATCTTAACATGTTTTAAAGTGAGAAGGTAACTGGACAGGATGGGTCAAACAGTATTACCACTGGTGATTTTGAATTTTTGGTTGAGTCCAGGTGAGCTTAATTTTGATTTTCAACCGCCAGATTGCACAAAGATCGCAATCGGCTAGGGATCAATGTCTTTGATCGTTACACCGTTCGTTTGACAGAAAATGACAGATATAAAAAATCCTGTGCTAGGGCGGCAGTTTAAAGGTGTATTTTTTCTGCAGCACACCTAAATTGCAATGTAATAATCGGTTTTGATCTTCACAGAGAATTTTGGTTTTCACAGAGGCATTTTACTTGTCCGTCATTTTAAAGAGTTTGTTGTGATTTTGTTTAGAAATATAAAACAGTATTTAAGCCAACCTTATTTTCATTTTAATTGGACAGATGTGTACCGAATCCGACAGACCACTGCAGACCACCATCGCAGACCACTTGTTTCTGCTACTAATATTCGGAAAAAATTGAACTCTCCGCACTAAAATAGTTAAACTGTAAAAATTTAGCAAACACATGCCTCAAGGTAGGGATATTTCCTATCCACATCTAGACGGACATGGCACAAAACGCGTTTGGGTCTGTCAGTGCATGTGATGTGAAATATCAGTCTGAACAGAGAAGGCTTGCAAGTTTTAAAGAATGGCCGGGAGAGAATGAAACCAAATGCACGAAGCTAGCCAAACATGGCTTTTTCTACACCGGCAATAAAGACGAGGTACAATGCTTTTCCTGTGCGGTCAGAATTAGAGGCTGGGATAGAAATGATTGCCCTCTGGATGTACATCGTCGCCAGAGTCCAAACTGCAATTTCATTAACCACCGGGAATCTGGGAATCAACCTTTGTTTTACAACAATTGTTGGGTTGACGCTATTTGTAATGGCGATCCGTTTCCAAAATTGTCTCCAGTTATCCAACAGAACTCAAGTGGAACATACTATGGCACACCGCCAGGTGAATTACTAAGCAGAGACACAGATGTGGTGACCACAATCGAATCGAACAATTGCATCCCAGAAGACATCAGTAATGATAATTACTGTGAAACCAACGCAACAATCCCTGTACCAACAGGACTACAATTTACTCCAAACGAACAAATATCCAAATATCCATGTTTTCTTCAGTCGTCTAATCAAAGCATTGGCGTTGATAGAAACACTAGTGCGCCAACTGTAGCAAAATTGAAGCCAACACCCACACAACACAACGATGGCACCTTACGTAAGTTTGATAAACACATTAGATTATTTTAGAATATGTTTAACCAATTTTCTTGGGGAGGAAGTACTTTGTGTGCCAATGAGGCAACTAAATGGTTTATTTCATTTGCTGGTACTGCCCATCGAAAATTATTCTATAGAAATCAGTTCCTTGGTAAGCATAAGTAGCCTAATGTATCATCTGATGAGTGTTTGCAAATCAATCTGTTGAAATATGCGGCATCTACCGGGTACGCACGGGCCCGCGTGTGCATGTTTTAGTATTCATACAAATACATTGCATACCGTATATTTTTTGTGTGCACATGTGCCCTTCAGTGCACATAGGTATTTCTGAAAAATCGATTATTTAATTATATTATATCTTATGTTTCAGAATTAAAAGGCGGCGGATGCACTGTGGATACCCCCAAACATCTTTTTAAAGATCTGCCAACGTCTTGTCCCGCTCGTCTAGGTAAATATAAATGTACAATATGATAATGCTTTCTGACAGCACATTCAAATGCATGCAGTTAAAATAAGCCCGGTAAAAGTTTAAGCCTGTAGGAGTTACTCAGTGAACGTCGTGCTTGATTATAAAAATATATTGATATTTCGATAAATTGGTTCTTCTGTGTGATGGCAGTCATACTACTGTCATTACATACGCGCCGAAACGTGATAGGGCTACCGTAAATATTTCAGGTTCCAGGAGCGGAGAAAACCACTTGCCATATGGACTTGACTTCGGAAACGGGCAAGCGAAAGAAATACCTGGTATTGCCCATGTGGAAAAACATACACCTTGCGAAGAAGTACATCCTCCCGTAAGTTGTAGTCATGGATACTGATACGCGGTTAAAGCACTCCAAGCCAGGATTGCCCCGCCAAATACAGGGTACTCATATTTTATGAATTTTTACTTACCAACCTTTAATCTTCCTTTTTTTAATGTGCGCCAAGAAAAAAACTGGCTTGGATTGCTTTAAGAGCACGTAAAGTGTATTCACTCTATAAAAATAAAGCGACTGACATGGCAACCAACTTGCAATATATGTTTATCTGAATTGTCGCACGTTTGAAGAAAGTGAAAAAAGAAGAATTGCAATAAAGAAAATAACATTCCAGTCGTGTAAATACTAGTAGTCATTAAAAAGGCAGAAAATCAGAATCATCTTTAAACGCTGTTATATTGACGTTTAATTTTATTATTATAGTATTACCCACCACGTGACTCTCATCAGGGAATTTTGGATTCTTCAAACAGCGATGAGAACGGATCTGGAAGCGATGTAGCGGAATGCAATTTGCCAGGAGTGAAGAAGTAACCATGATGTCATCGTCCTGATTACACGTGCACGTTTCAAAAAATAAAAAAAATTTATGAAAGTCTAGAAAAAAGTTGAGTGGCGGTCAACCAGGCCTAACGCAACGACAAAGACATGCTATTAGTATACAGGTTGACCTGAGCATCTATCAGTTCATTTAACTGCGGCGATAACTAGTGGCACTTGCAGATGACATTTCACGACCTACTTTAACCGTTTGCATTGATTTTTGGCTATATATTATAAATGTTCTTTTTGTGTCGCATGTGGACAGATCAGATTGATATTGCCTTTAGGTCATGTTTATTTTTAGCTGTTCGCGGAATTCCAAAATTAGTTGGGTTTTTCCGTTGTGGTAGTTGCGTATAGATATGTTGGGGCGATGTTGCACATCTACAACATGGATACAAAGCCACAAACCTTGCTTCCAAATGCCCCTTAGACCAAATTTTCTTAGCCCGAATTTTTTGTATCCAATTTTTGGGCCCTTTCACGATCTTTTCATTTCCTTCGAAGGTTCTTAGCCCGAAGATATTTTATGGTACCATGCCATTAAATTTGAACAAATGAGCTAATTATCTTTAAAAAATCTATATTTAATAGTTTTACCCAAATTACACATATCCTGTAACCACCAGTGAAGATTAAATATTCAATCAAATTCAAGTCGTATCGATACATACCCATCACGACACAGTAACGATTGGAAATGAAGTAAGACACTGACAAGTATGTACTGACAAGAACAAGAACTGACATTTAAATTCAAAAACATGCAAAGGACCCTGCTATAAGAACAGTGAATCAGGCATCTATAAAATTCCTTATAGTACAACATTGATGAACTTAGAAAAAATATATTCACAATTTATATGATGTATTACAGCCAGAGATGCATATGACATAATATTTTGTTGAACATTTTACAATGCATATACTGGTATACATAATATATATGACTTAACAAGTAAGGCTCTTGTGTTGATTTTATTCAGTGGCAGTGGCTGCCGCGTTTGCTTTTATTTCGAAGATAAAAATTACCATTTGAACTTCAGTCTGGCAGCTCTAACTGACCGACAACTCCTAAGTTCTGAACAACACATGCTTTCGGACGTGTATGTCAGAAAAATTAGAGAAGTTATGTAGGAACTTGAGAGGTTCCCCTTCGCCGTTTTTACGTGTACTTTATCTCAAGGACAAGAAGAGCACTGCAGTATGTAGGCGCTGGGGTCAGACACAACGACACAATTGTGATCCAGGATTATTTGAAGGTGGGGAGGGGGTCCGTGAATGCGAAGTCGGCCCTCTCCTCCCCTCCCCCCCCCCCTTGTCGTGGGGTTCGGGTGCCCTCTGAAGGGCACCGAAAAAATCGTATTTTAGAGGGAGAACAGTGCCATTGGGTACGGTTTAGAACTATGATTAATTTAATTCTAATTTCAAGAGGGGACCATTTTCCGTGATTTTTTTTAGAAATCGAAGAGGGGGGGGGGGGGGCAGGAACCCTGACACCCCTAAATCCGCCACTGTTTGTGATTTACATACATTTACAAGTTTGAATTTTATTTCACTGAAACATATGCATACACCTGGGTGGATGAAAATGACAATATAAATATAATTTTAGTGAATGTGCTATTTAAATTTATTTTAAAAACATGTTACATTGTACAAGAGTCACGTAAATGCAGGGAATCACCCTCGTCATCGCTATATTTAATTGTTTTCTTTCGCTTTCATTATAAAATCGAAACATGTTTTAAAGATGATTCAGCTAGTGAAAATTCTAATTTCAAGAGGGGGCCATTGGCGTGATTTTTTAAGAAATCGAAAGGGGGGTCAGGACCTACATGCATTAACATGTACATGTAGCACTGTACGAGAGTCACTAAAATGTGGGGAATCACCCTCGTCATAGCGATATACCACTGTTTTTTTTTTCTTTTGTCTCGGTATCATTACAAAAGTTTGAAGCTGTTTTAAAGTGAGAAGGTAACTCATGGACAGGATGGTTCAGACACTAGTACTACTGGTGATTTTGAATTGTTGGTTGGGTCAAGGTGAGCTTAATTTAGATTTTCAACCGCCAGAGTGCACAAAGGTCGTATAATCGTCTGGGGACCGGGGTTATTGATAGTTACACTGTTCCTTTGGCTGAAAAGACATTAAACTGTTTTGGGACCAGGACCGCAGATTAGTAATGGTCGCTTTTCTCCAGCGGTACAATGTACCACAGAAATTCGTGTCATGAATTAGCCCGAGGCATATACATATGGATATATAGTGAAACCACTTTTGTGACCCTGGTAGGGGTAGTGTACATAACTCAGTTATTAGAGTATATGAGCGTACAATACTGTAACATCGGCTGGATGCGATATGACGTCTTTGCTAAGATCACAACGAATAATTGTGGTCACATGCTAATTGGGACGCGTAATGATTGGTCAAGATGATGCAACAAGTGTGGTCTTTTGTAACGGCGCTGGGCGACTCCCTAGTTATTATTTCGCGTCATAAATGGGAATAAGTATATACATGTATGTCTTAACAAGTAAGGCACTTGTGTTGATTTTATTCAGTGGCAGTAGATGCAGCGTTTGCTTTTATTTCGAAGATAAAAATTACCATTTGAACTTCAGTCTGGCAGCTCTCCATGACCGACAACTCCTAAGTTCTGAACAACACATGCTTTCGGACGTGTAACATATGTATGTCAGAAAAATTAGAGAGTTATGTAGGAACTTGAGAGGTTCCCCTTCGCCGTTTTTACATGTACTTTATCTCACAGAAGAGAATTGCAGTATGTAGGGCGCTGGGGTCAGACACTACTACACAATTGTGACCTGGGACGGATCCAGGATTATTTGAAGGTGGGAAGGGGGGTCCGTGGATGCGAAGTCGATCTGTTCCTCCCCTTTGTCGTGGGGTTCGGGTGCTATCTGAAATTGGTATTTTAGAGGGCGAACACGGTTTAGAACTATGATTAAGTTAATTTTAATTTTAAGAGGGGACCATTTGGCGTGATTTTTTTAGAAATCGAAGTGGGAGGGTGGGGGGCAGGAATCCTGACACCCCCTAAACCGTCACTGTTTGTGATTTACATGCATTTAAAAGTTTGAATTTTATTTCACTGTAACATATGCCTTCACCTGGGTGGATGAAAATGACAATATAAATATAATTTTAGTGAATATGCTATTAAACATGTAGCACTGTACAAGAGTCACGTAAATGCGGGGAATCACCCTCGTCATCGCTATATTTAATTGGTTACTTTTTTAAGTTTCGCTTTCATTATAAAATCGAAACATGTTTTAAAGTGAGATGATTCAGCTCGTCAAAATTCTAATTTCAAGAGGGGACCATTGGCGTGATTTTTTAAGAAATCGAAAGGGCAGGGGGGGGGGGGGGTCAGGACCCCTGACAACCCCCTAAATCCGCCAATGTTTGTGACCTACATGCATTAACATGTACGTGTAACACTGTACAAGAATCACATGTGTGGGGAATCACCCTCGTCATCGCTATATTTCACTGGTTTTTTTTCTTTTGTTTCGGTATCGTTAGAAACATGTGATGTTTTAACCCTCAATCACCTTTCAGGGGCCTCGCCGGCCCGGACCCATGTATCTTTTGCTCTCTCTTCGTTCGCATGAGGTTTTGAGCCTGGTCTTTTCATGTAATCCTCAAGCAACTTATACCCCATCAATGGATTAATAATTAGTTTTGAAATAATTTACACCATATGTAGAAATTAACTTTTCCAAAAGTTAGTCCCATTTCCTGGAAACCGGGCCTCTGAGGCCCAGTCCCTTGATAATTTTACTTCCACATGGGATAAATAAGTCTATGTAACCTCAAATATCTTTGCTATCAAATGCTTTACACAAGCAATATCATGTGTGCTATGACTATCAGTATGGTCAATGAAATCTGCCTGTAAGATTCAAGACCTGGAGGAATTATTATTTATGAGTAATCAGTCACCTTGGTCACCTGATATGCAGATATCAGTTTAAATCTATCACTATTACATACCTGATAGACTGCGCTACCTTTGCGAAACTTTCCATTTTGAGAAAAAAAATATTTTTCCGCATGTTCCATACACAGTGTAATGTATACTCACCCAGGTGGAGGTAAAGCGAGCAAAGGACCGTTGTAACATGAAAATCTGACTCCCATGAAAATCTGACTCCCCCATGAAAATTTGACTCCCCCTCCACAAAACTTCATAAATCTTATTTTATTTGAGTATATGACTGTGATCTTGTCGTATGTAAAATGGAGGATACATTGACACTTTTTTTTAGTTTGCAGGTGAAAATTTTCATGAAAAATAAGAAAATTAAAAATGTGCACTTTACCGCCCATTGTCTCCCTTATGAAAAAGCTATTTATTTGATATTGGATGATCATTTCTGCATCTTTCCTTTAAATTTACTTTATGAAGATCATATTGGAAATATTTGAAAGTTTGATGATTGAGTGAAAAAACTAAAAAAAAAAAACATGAAAAATAAGAAAATTAAAAATGTGCATTTTATCACCCAGTGACTCCCCTGTGAAAAAGCTATCTATTTAATATTTGATGATCATTTCAAAATCTTTACTTTGACTTTATGAAGATTATATTGAAAATATTTGAAAGTTTGATGGTAAAATATTGGGTGAAAATACAAAAAAAAAATGAAAAATAAGAAAATTAAAAATGTGCATTTTATCACCCAATAACTCCCCTATAAAAAAGCTATCTATTTAATATTTGATGATCATTTCAACACCTTTCTTTAACTTTTACTTTATGAAGATTATATTGGAAATATTTGAAAGACTATAGGGAGTCAAACTCCTATGGGTACAAGAATGCAAATTTATTATCCATTTAAAATCATCAATCCCCATTTTTCATTCAGCTTTGGGAAAAATGAGAAAAACAACAGCAAATATAATGGGAGTCCATAGGAGTCCAAATCCCATGCATATGAAAATGAAGAATTTCGTAAATTATTTTCACCCAGTATTTTACCATTCAAACTTTCAATTATTTTCAATATATTCTTCATAAAGTATCCTAAAAGAAAAGATGTCAGAATGATCATCAAATAACAAATAAATAGCTTTTTTATAGGGAAGTCATTGGGTATTAAAATACAAATCCTTAATTTTTCTTATTTTTCATGTGTTTTTTTTTTCACCCAATTTTTTACCATCAAACTTTCAAATACTTTCAATATATTCTTCATAAAGTATCCTCAAAGAAAAGATGTCAGAATAATAATCAAATATCATATAAATAGCTTTTTCATAGGGGATTCCTTGGGTGGTATAATACAAATCTTGTATATATATATATATATATTTTTTTTTTTGTTCTTGAAACGTTTTACCTGCAAACTTTTTTTTTTTGGGGGGGAGTCAAAATTTCATAGGGGGAGTCACATTTTCATTATGAAAATCTGACTGGGGAGTCACATTTTAGGGGAGTCACATTTTCATGGTACACCGGGCCTCCGAGGCCCGGTTTCAGGGTTTACGTAGGGTTCCATTTCCTTGTGGATGAGGGTTAAAGTGAGAAGTTAACCGGACAAGATGGTTCAGGCAGTAGTACTACTGGTGATTTTGAATTGTTGGTTGGGTCAAGGTGAGCTTAATTTAGATTTTCAACCGCCAGAGTGCACAAAGGTCGTATAATCGTCTTGGGACCGAGGCTATTGATAGTTACACTGTTCCTTTGGCTGAAAATAGCAAATTTAAACTGTACTGGGGCCAGGACCGCAGATTAGTAATGGTCGCTTTTCTCCAGCACACATGTACCGGTACAATGTAGAGCAGAAATTCATGTCATGAATTAGCCCGAGGCATATAGTGAAAACCCCATCTGTGACCCTAGTAGAGGGTAGTGTACATAACCCAGTTGTTAGTGTTTATGGGCGTACAATACTGTAACTTCGGCTGGATGCGATATGACGTCTTTGCTAAGATCACGACGAATAATTGAGTGGTCACATGCTAATTGGGACGCGTAATGATTGGTCAAGATGATGCGACAAGTGCGGTGGAAGCACAAGTGGCTGTTATAACGGCACCTGGGCGACTCCTACTTATTATTTCGCGTCATAAATGGGATTGTGTCTAAGGCCGCAATCTTGTATAAAATTTACATGAAATTTTAATTAAAAAAGGGGCGGCATTACCCACCGTAGAACAGTGTCCCAAAATATGATTAAAGAAAATATGGTTCAAAATAATATTATTATTATTATTTGTATATTAATATAATGTCTTAAAAGAAATAATGCATCACTTTTTAAGATGCACACTCGCTTTTAACACACGCACACGCAACCACTCGGTTAAATTTCCGTGCAATAATTTACGATTTCAAACGTGACACCCATGACAACTATTGAAGGTCTTATGAAACAGAGCTGATGAAGGTTGAAATATTGTGAACTCCGTTTCAAAACGTACATGAAAGATATAGTATAAGAGATAATTTCATTTTCAACATTATCTTAACTTAAAACAACTGAATTAATTAAAACATACACTCTGTTAACAAACTTTGTTTCCAGTGTTTTGCTCTCCAGTGGCTTTGGAAGAATCCACAGACATAGATACTGTGTATGTACGAGAGAATGGAACTGTCGCACTCCAGTGGTCACTGTTTATTGGGGAAAATGCAGGCAGGTCGTCGGTGAACGTCATGATCAAAAAGAGAGATGCTCTGCTTTGTCAGTGGGTAAAGGCACACGGCGAGGTAAACCAGTGCGACCAAGGAATGAAATTAACAATCAACCCAGAACAAGTGCGTGTACCGGGTCCAACCAACATTAATGTCACGTTTTCCTTCGAGAACAAGAAGCACACCGATAATGGGATATACGACTGTTGTTTTGTGATTGACGAAAAATGGCGCGAAATGCAAAAACTAGAGAAAAAGTTAGAAACAACGGGTATGTTTCTGGTAAAGATAGTACATGTGTACCTACAACTGTGTGTAATTCACGTTGTTGTTTTTTATTGAAAGTATTATGACAATACAACCGATACTGAAATCAACCTCGAAACATATTTTACATCAGTTTATTCATCCGTTTAAGAAATGGATTGACCTTTACAATAAATAAATAAATAAATAAATAAAATATCTATCCGTCCTTTAATAGTTTTTATTCAAACTTTATTTTCCTTTATAAATTAACGTTTGGAATTGCATATAAGTGAGATCATTGTGCTAGTTTTTGTAAAAGAATCAAAAGATAATAAAAAAGTTTTCAGATTTATTAAATAAGTGGGATTGCTAGAGTGGCAATTTTAAAACTTTAGACCTTTTCTTTCTTTCTTAGCTGAACCAAATGTGACTGCGACTTACAACGACTCATCCAACACTACCATTACGTGCTTTGTCAGTGGCGGCCGACCAAAACCTGTTGAAACTATCCTCTTGCTAAATGGAACCGAAATATCACGCTCTGAGTGCACATACTGCCGCAATAATTCGAAGTGCTCTTCAATCCATTCCGTAGAAAAGTTAACCGGTATATACAAGTGCAGAGTGGAACTTGTCGGAGACGTCGTTGACAGTGCCGAAGTGGACATCCCATTTACAACAAAAGATACCCGTAAGTAGTCCACTTTCAACAGATGACTTACAGAAATTTCTGTGATGATAATCAAAATCCCCTTCTCTCTCTCTCTTCTCTCGAAACTTATACCGATTTCTTTATAAATGTTTTTCATTTTCAAGAGCAACTCCTCACTGTTTTATTTATTTATTTATTAGTTTATTTATTCATTTGTTAATTTAGTGTATCCAATAACATTCCCTTTAAATTTTCTTCATTATATTCAAACGACAGACAACCAAACAAGTGCTGTGGGAAATGTCGGCGTGAATACCGTGCAGACTGTGTGTGTTATAGCAGTATTACTAGTTCTTGCATTTGGACTGATAATAATTGTTGTATGGAGATGTCGAATTTTTTGGAATCCTGTGAAAACCCCCGGTAAGTAATAACACAAAAAAAAACAACTTTTTACACCCTATGCATTTGTATCAGTGTGACTCGTTTACCTAATCCAGACAAAGCTACTTTAATAAGACTATTAACTATACAAAAACTTTTGCCCATTTCTGTGGAAAAAAAGCTAAATTGTATCTTAAAGTGTTGTTATTGTGGTATTGTTTTGTATGTGACTTTAAGCTTTTGTTTAAATTGATAAATGTTTCCCACTTCTCTTGCACGACGTTTGTTTTATTCTTCCAGCTAACGATGTTATCCACCAGGCAGAAGAAACGGAACACTGTGTTGCCCATTACACAAAGTCCTCTGGTTCAGTGGAGATTGTCGCCTCTTCCGAAAATGAAAACGAACCTTGCCTTTCCCAAAACCAGGCCCCGTCTCACAGAAAATCTGTGGCTAAAATTTAAGTTAGTAAACTTACTGCGTGACTAACTGAGTTGTTTTTCACAACAAATTAAAAAGCCAAGTTTTATCTATCTGAATTTCAGCAACTATTTAGAAATCTTAGCTAACTAATAATTGGGAGCTGCTTAACTCAATATAAATCAGAAAAAAAACATCTAAAACTCATCTAAAACTTGGAAATTGAGATTACTAAAAGATTTTTGTTTGACTTTTTTTGTCCGCTTGATGTCTGATGGTGACGTCCCAATACAAGATGATATTTTGCCATTACTTTAACTAATCTTAAATCCAACAGTACCAATGTTTAACTATCGAATTAAGTTAACAACAAACTAAGTTTACATTTTGACCCATCGCATATATATACAGTTGATAAATGATCATTCACGACCGAAAGAGGCAAATGTTATATCTTCGAATATTTTCAACCTTGCTTTTAAAACAAATTTTTGAGGTAAAAAACAACAATTAAGATAATTAATTGTATTTATGAAAGAAATTATTCTTTTCAGTGGTGGTAATAAGTTTGTTTATATACAGCATCGTTATTTTATAGGAAGTAGCCTTAGGTTGGAAATAGTCTTAGTTTTAGGAATTACTTTTAGTTTGACCTTTAAGTAGTTGACCAAGGCATGGTGACAACAGATGCCCGGGTTGTAGATGTCTTAGGTTGCATTCCCATAGATTTTAGATCGATTTATCCCTAAATCTCTGGATCGATCTAAATCTCTGTGAATGCACCCTTAGCTACTGTGTATCTAGGCACACACATTTAATTGTTATTATCAATGTTTTGGCAGCTATTTCTATCGAGCTACATCAGTGAGAAGTAGGGCTGCGTACCTAAACGTACATGTAACATCAGGTACAGGTACCGGTACAGAGGTTTAGGTGCAGGTCTGAACTTGTACCTGTACCTGAATAAGTGTTGTTCGGGCGTCCCATGGAAGACCGAAGGCCTGATTCCTAGCGGGGGAGCCGAGAGCTTCCTAGGGAGGGGGGGTCCAGGGCATGCTTCCCCGGGAATTTTTTTAATTTTTAACCATCTTAAACGCAATTTCCCGCATTTTGAGAGGCAAATAATTGTTGATAAAGGTAAGTTTAATACGCGCAGCCCGGGGTTTTTTAACTTACGCGACCAAAATGGAAAAGTGACTGACCTCTAACCTGCTTTTGAGTTTGTTGACCAATCACAGCCCTGGATCAGCCATGCTTTCGTGAGACTGAGGATCTCATATCAAAGATGGCTCTGATTTCACGTTGCAGGACGGTATTTACGTCTTTTCCAGTTCTAATTTTTCGTCTGTGTGGTAGGATTTACTCATCTTTCATTCACAAAATAAGCACATACTTGGTATAAATTTATATTTGTACAGTACCGGTACTTCATGATCCGGTATTTTGGACCTGTACCTAATCGATTTTTACGATACTGTACCGGTACAGAGTACCGGTACGCAGCACTAGTGAGAAGTCATTCAGCTTTTAAGCTGCAGTGATATTTACTCGCATTTTCCCTAGTGTACTTTTAGCAGCTACATTGGATGATTACTTTTTTATTTCATTTTATTTGGACATCCTCCACCATCTCCTTCCACTTGCCTTATTCCTTTTTTGCACTATTCTGGGCTTTTATTTTCCATTTGTGTCCCCAATTTTAACGTTGGTTGCACTCATTAACCTACACTTTAATACTTATTTATTATGGTAGTTTTTTAGTATGGGTAATTATGGTATCTTCAACAATGTAATTAGTTACAGGGTTAATACTAAATATGGAATATTATTTTTTGGCTGGTAAATTTTCTACAAAATATTCATTTTCTCTCTTTTAGTCAAATCGAGCAGACAAGGTGACAGTTCAAAGGCCATAAGAAGGAATTCGCTTTGAGGTGAACGGTGTAAAGCAAAACTGTAAATATGATAACAATGTGAGGCTTGTGCACACTTCACGCTGTTTTAGGTTAAGCTAACATTTAATTTAATTTAATTATAATAATTTCTTTCTTTCTTTTTTTTTTTTTTTTTTTTGGGGGGGGGGGGTGATATAATTGAAATTCCAGACCAAGAGCTACATTGCACTTTCATATTAATATGGTGGCAATGCTTAAAGGGATAATAACTCTTCGTAAGAGGTCTATATTTCACAATAAAACATTGTGAATAACTCATAGAAATATAATATATTCTATTTTACGACAAAAACAGCTACTCTGATATCTGAGCTTGTATTCAGACCACGTGAGCTCCATTGATGGCTATACTCTGTTATAATCTCTTAACAGCTTTTAACAAGAAAAAAAAAAAAAAAAAAAAAAAAAAACAAGCTTTTTAGAAAAAAAACAGGAACTAACTTTGAATGTAAAAATGGAGCCATTAACCATTGGTTAGTATGGGAAAATTGTTGTTTACTCCAGGAAAATTCATTTTTTAGCCAAAACGAAGAGTTATTATCCCTTTAAATTCTTATCAATTGTGAAAAAATTCACATGTATATTACTTGTCCCTCTAATGTAGAACAGTTTCATTAGCTATGTTATTGTAATAGACTTGTGAAGATTCTTTTGACATAGCTATTTATATTAGTTTGATCCTACCATCCAATATTTCATCTGCTTGCAGTCAGATTTCATCAGGGAATGAGGTTGTGACAGGTATGACAACCTGTTACCCCCTCTGGTGTGCTATTTGGTCAGACCCCCCCCCTTCCTGCCCCTTCCTTAGGAGTGGTAGGTAGAGGTTGGGTAGCTCAGTCCCATCATTCCGATTCAACTTGGCCCCATGTAAGCGGATGTTAATTGCTTCAAGAACTGTCCGGTGTAGATCTCGTGGCTCTCTTTCCAAGATTTTTATGTCTTCTATGGTTGTTGATGTTATACAATGCCCTGTCTGTTCCTGGTGTTGGCTGAGGGCAGATTTTTTATCATGTTTTTTGATCGATTTTTGATGTTCAGCGATTCTTTCTGTTAAGGAACGTCCTGTCTCTCCGATGTATTTCTCTCCACACACCTGACACTCACACTGGTATACAACTCCACACTGTTCTCCTGGGTCTAATTTGTCCTTTGGGGATACTAGGATGCCTCTTAATGTCTGTCCTGCCTTATGGTGTAATAATACATTCCTTTTTCTGAATGCTCTTTTTAGTTTTTCACTAACCCCTTTCATGTAAGGTAGTACCGCATATCCTTTGGGTTTCTCTTTTTCGGTCCTGTTCACTAGCCTTTGTTGTTTTTCTCTTCCTTTCTTTTCCCCTTCTTTTATAGCCCATTCCGGGTAACCACAGTTTCTAAAAGCCACTCTGATTTTTTCCTTCTCTATCTCTACCTTTGGTTTCTCTTTTATCAGTGTCAGTGTCAGTGTCCCAAAATTTTGGTGGTTGGGTGGCTGTCCTTAATGCCTGCTCTTCAAACTCTTCCATGAATAGGTTGGCCAGGACAGGAGAGAGTGGAGAGCCCCTTGCCATTCCATATACCTGTTCGTAAATACGTCCTTGGTACCGGAAGTAGGAAAGTTCTTGAAGCAATTAACATCCGCTTACATGGGGCCATGTTGAATCGGAATGATGGGACTGAGCTACCCAACCTCTACCTACCACTCCTAAGGGAGGGGCAGGAAAGGGGGGGGGATCTGACCAAATAGCACACCAGAGGGGGTGACAGGTTGTCATACCTGTCACAACCTCATTTCCTGATGAAATCTGACTGCAAGCAGATGAAATATTGGATGGTAAGATCAAACTAATATAAATAGCTATAGACAAAAGAATCTTCACAAGTCTTGTCCCTCTAAATTTTGTCGACTCTTGAAACTTTTGAACCATCTTTTGTACATATAAACGAAGGCAGGCTCAGACCTAATAGGGGCGGATCCAGAGATATTTTCTGACAGTCTTCCATATTATATTTATTGATCCATCCTCCATTTTTTGACCGTCTTCCGACAGAAAAAAAATTGATAACTGTCAATGTAAACTTGAAAATTTGACCGTCTTCTGGAAGACCCAGAAGACGGTCTAAATCCGCTATATATTTTCAAAGGGAACATGTTTGTGGTATATAAGTTAAAAAATTCTGAAATTTTAAAATATTAACGTCTGTACGAGAGTATAGGAGAGAGCCACAGAGCTAGGTGAAGCATTATCTCTATAAACTAGCTGTCACACTGGACATTTATCAATACCCCATGTGCAGGGCTCAAATTTCATGTGAACTTTAAATGTGATATAAATAGATATTATTAAATTAATTATCTTTTAACCACCAGAGTTTGCAGAAAGTAATAATAACCAATCTAGATTCCATTTTCTCCAAATAACTTTCATAGCCCTGTGTTTATATTTAACCTAAGGTGATCTTAATGTTTTATTTTTGATATTTTTTGATAATTTTTAGTACTTCAACCTTTTGGATGCAATGGTTTTTAATTTGTTAGATTTGTTTTTATTAATATGCTTCCATTCGATATCTGCTGATCAGACTGTGCGACATATTTATCCTAGATGGTATCAAAACTGACTCTTCACGATACTTTTATCGTTCGCTGTGATCTAATGGCATTTTTTGCCATTTTATATGTACATTTATTGTGTCGCATGTAGCGAGATTGATTATATACATGTATATTTCAATGTATTGACCATATAAAAATCAATGTTATTTGTTTCTTGTTGTTAATGTCTTCGTGTGAAAGACGTCAGCTAAATTTTTACGTACTACAGTAGCAGACGTCTTTAGTAAGTCTCTTCATGGGGTTGTCGGTACATGTATTACTGTATGGGGACAATAAATGCTCGAAATGATCCTTTTAAGCTGGTGCGTTCCCATTGTTCATTTTTATTTCCATTCAATCTTTGTCTGGTTAAGAGCACAGATGTTTGAATGGGTACTATTGACTTATACCCTGTTTGTTTCTCTTTCATTGCATGAATGCATAATCAACAATGATGTACGCGAATGGAATTTCCAGACTCTTTGTCCCTTTATTTTCATTTGAAGGTAATGACAGTCTATTTGTGATCTCGTGGTTTTTCCGTTGTGGTAGTTGCGTATGCTGAAGTTGCACATCTTTTCTTTATTGAGGAAACAAAAGAGAAAGAAGCACGGTTGTCGCTTTTTTAAACCAGGCAATTTTTCATAATAATTCCTTAATTTTTCCAAAATAAAATTCTACTTACCTTTAGCGGGAGATGCAGTTTTATTATAATTCACCTGAGCTTCATTGCAGAGGGTTATCTTCTTTGCCGCCTCCTCGATTCCCGTCTCTCTAATGTTGCGGATTCGTTTCAGTTGAAAGGCGCTTGCAATAACTGCAGCAGCTCCACGAAATTTTGCATATCCATATCCATATTGTTTGGTGAATTTTGATTTTCCTCCGGTCCCTTTAATTGCACTAGTAGATTTTGAATTCAGGTGGATTTATTTTGTTGATTAAAACTACGGTCAGCTGAAAAAGATTTAATGTTTAATTATTAAAATACATGTACAGTTAAATCTTCAAATACTGTTGCATTAATTACACTCATAACATTATACAAGAATTAAACTGATTACTGAGCATTAACTTATTACTTGTTTGTTAAGTCTTATCTGCAAAGCTAAGTAAGCCACGCCACACACTAGAAGGTGCTCTTGATACTGCAGATGTAAGAGTGAATAATGGGTAACAGTTATAGTGCAGGTTAGAGTTCACTTGATATAGGTCATATGTCATGATCCTTTCCTATTATAATTCATGAAATCAGTCATTCTGTTACGTCACACACACACGCGAGCGCGCGCGCCCGCGCGTATATATAACATTTAACAAAATTGGGACATTTTAAAACAATGCCAGAACAGTGGGTACCGGAGCTCGCGCCATTGTTTCATTGTTTAAATATCTGATCGTCTCTGGGCGAATGCGTAGTGTCCTTGTGTGCTCCACAAAGCATGTCTGAAACCGTATAAAATATAAAATAAATGTAAACGGCCCAGTTCACCATAAAGACTTTCGATTTTTTTTCTTTTGTGAGGCAGTTGAGTATGTGAAGTTCAAAAACTGCCACTACTGTGCTATCCAATATTTGAATAAAAGAACTTGATTTTTTTAATTCAGTATTTTTAATAACAATGCTTAATAAATCAGATCAGATAGCAACAACAAAATGATAATTTTTTTCTAAAATTCCAAGAGCGGAGTTTCAACAATACAAACATGAATAATTTTTTTAAAAAATATAAATGAAAATGAATGAGTTTAAAACAGATTGAAAGGAATGTAAACCAATATTTCAAAAGGACTTCATTTAAAAGGCTATACTTTACAAAAGAATTTTATAAACTTTCTACTATTTGACTGAGATGCCAAGCATATGACAAAGCGACTGTAATATTCTGGGTGTTTATTAGAAGTCATATTATATTTTGTAAACAGTACATTGTAGTTGTGTCCGTCTTAATGGTTACAAAACTGCAATCATTTTAGATTTGCTACTTTTCTCTTGCGTGAAAATAAATAAAATAACATAAAAACTGGCCACGAAACTTGCACCACGCACGCATTTAAAGCGTTCAGTTAGATGGTAATTCCACCTTTGATCCCTTTTTACTGCAATCTGTGAATTATTTTAATCGTCCTACATCCCCATTCATGTTTGTAAGTTAATCAAGGATAGGAGAACTGCATGTAAAAGCCTATCTATAATTGAACAGTTCTGAAGACATGAAATAGACCATATTTAGTATCATGTATAACAAAAATTAAGACTGCAGTAGTCGGACTTGGTTGCATGTGGAAGAACGGGCTATTACATCTGCACTTTTAGTGTGCCGCATGTACTAGATCGGTTAGATATTTGGATGTCTAGATTATACTTCAATGATCAGGGTCCGTTTCGTGTGGTTTATGTATTTGTGTAGAAAACCAGAGGCCTAATATGTACGCACTAGCCGACGTTATCGTAAGTCAGACCCTTTATCAAGTTATTATTTGTATGGTATATTTGTTAACCAATAAAGCATAAATTGATTTTAAAAATAGGCCATTCAAGTTAACACAATTGCCCCTGATGGAGTCAACAAGGTCAACATACTGTGAGAAATAATTCAATGCGGTGTCAGGGCTCACTTTGATCTAAAGTAAGTTTTGTTCGGTAAAGAGAAATGTTTAAATGACTTACATTGACTTTTTTTGCTTCTCTTTCGCATTCCATTATTCTCATTACACGCATACACAGTAAACAGTCAACGTGGGGTTTCCGTCCTGTCTTTTTATATGAAATGTTGACAAAGGTTATTTTCAGCTCTGGCGAAATTTCCATTCCGTTGGTTTTTCCCGTTGCGGTAGTTGCGAACGTTTGTTGTGGTGAAGTTGCACATCTGCCACATGGCTGCCCCCCCTTGATTCCTGAAGTCTGATGGGGCGATGGTTCATTGCGTTAATTGGAAGATTCTTTAATCCGATATTTGAGTTTTTTTATATTTGCTTCGAAGGTTTACACGCCCCAAAAAATATTTATGGTATTTATTATGCCATGAAATTTGATCGAGAGAACAGATTATCTTAGTGAAAATTCGTTTGTTTAATACCATTACCTTGCTTGTCTTGAACTCGCCAGTGAAATAATAATAATAATAATAATAATAATAATAATAAACTTCAATCAAGGCCAGATTAAGTCTAATCGACAGTGACCCATTAATGTACATGCACTGCAGCAGTTAATATTGAAAACAAAGAACGACAGATACTGGCACGATCTTGCCATTTAAACGTCCCCAAATGCATTCAACGGGCCTTGTTATAACAACAATGTACAAAGCATCTATAATATGGCTCATAGTACAACATTGATGAACTTAATAAATAGTTCTCATGTTTTACTGACACTGTTTAGATGAAATGGCCGCCAGATTGATGAGCAAGTGTTGCGTGCATGTTATTACAAGTCTGTCACTTTTCTATTTTGCAAAAGGTGAGTATACATAAATTCTCTCTCTCTCTCTCTCTCTCTCTCTCTCTCTCTCTCTCGGCAAATGAAGAAAAAACTAATCAAGCCCATGAAATTTAATGAAGCTCCACAGGGAGATATTCGTTGGGTTCCTTATCAACCTGCATGAACTAGACTCGTCTTTTATAACGTATTGTATGTTTAAAACACCTACCAGTTTATCATTTCAGAGCATATCCACCAACGGGAATTAGTTAAAGACAACTTTTCATTCTAAGAATATACAGATGCTTGCATGCATTGTATGGAGCTGTTTGCAAAGGTCAAACTGAATACAGCCTTTTAAATGTCAGTGCAAATTTACATTTGTTGCCTGAAGGGGTTTTAGGGACAATTGACTTTGTCAGTTGTATTTAGCTCATTTGTCATTGGCACAAAAAAATAAATAGCAAATGGGGAAATGTACTTACTTGAACTTTTACAACATGGCATCTCCATTTTAGTCGTGACGTTCACCATTTTCTCTCACGTGACTCTCATTCCCGACGGGCAGTACCTGATAACTTGGCTTAAAGAACACCGAGATAGTGACCCTCAACTCTACCAATATTCCATCAACAAAACCAAGACCCACATATCTGTAAGAAATACCACTAAACTAGACTTTTTAGATGGTCGAATATTACAAGCCGAGGTGATGCCGCCACCGCGTGTGGCGACTGGGAAGTTGAACAATGGAAATTTCTATCTGATGCTTCGCGTCGGTGATGCAAGAATTACAGACGCTGGGACTTATTCGTGTTTTGCTCAGTTCATGGACCAGGGCTCTGTAGTAAACATCAGTGGTCAGGTGAACCCTCAAACTATTGACGTCATAGGTGGGTCGGGAAAGATAAACCTAGGAAATACTGTATTACTCCTCTGCGTAAAGCTTGTTGTGATCATTACATGGTTTCTTTTTCTTTTTTTTTTTACTTTCGTGGTTTTTATTTGCAATCTGTGAATTATTTTAATCGTCCTACATCCCCATGCATGTGTATGTTGTTCAAGGATAGGAGAACTGCATTTAACAGCCTATTTATAATTGAACAGTTCTGAAGACATGAAATAGACCATATTTAGTATCATGTATTACAAAAATTAAGACCAGTAAGCGGACTTAGTTATATATGGAAGAATGGGCTATTATATCTGCACTTTTAGTGTGTCGCATGTACTAGATCGGTTAAATATTTAAAGGTCTAGATTATACTTAAATGATCAGGATCCGTTTAGTGTGGTGTATGTATTTGTGTAGAAAACCAGAGGCCTAATATGTACGCACTAGCTGACGTTATCGTAAGTCAGAGCCTTTATCAAGTTATTATTTGTATGGTATATTTGTTAACCAATAAAGCAGAAATCGATTGTAAAGATAGGTCATTCAAGTTAGCACAATTGCCCCTGATAGACTCAATAAAGTCAACATCTGTGAGAAATAATGCATTGCGGTGTCGGGTTTAACTTTTATTTCTATATACATTGTAGGTTTTGTTCGGTATAGAGATATGTTTGAATGTCGTTTATTGACTTTTTTGCCTTTCTTTCGCATTACATTATTCTCATTACACGCATACACAATAAACAGTCAACGTGGGGTTTCCGTCCTGTCTTTTCATATGAAATGTTGACAAAGGTTATTTTCAGCTCTGGCGAAATTTCCATTCAGCTGGTTTTTCCCGTTGCGGTAGTTGCGAATGTTTGTTGTGGTGAAGTTGCGCAACTGCCACATGGCTGCAACCCGTGATTCCTAAAGTCCAATAGGGCGATGGTTCCTTGCGCTAATTGGAAGATTCTTTGATCCGATATTTGAGTCCTTTCAAGATTTTTATCTTTGCTTCGAAAGTTTATACGCCCCAAAAAATATTTATGGTATTTATTATGACATGAAATTTGATCGAGAAAACACATTATCTTAATGAAAATTCGTTTGTTCAATACCATTACCTTGCATGTCTTGAACTCGCCAGTGAAATTATAATAATAATTGTAATAATAAATAAGTTGAATCAAGGCCAGATTAAGTTTAATTGACAGTGACCCATTAATGTACATGCACTGCAGCAGTTAATATTGAAAACAAAGAACGGCGAATACTGGCACGATCTTGCCATTTAAACGACCCCAAATGCATTCAACGGGCCTTGTTATAACAACAATGTACAAAGCATCTATAATATGGCTCATAGTACAACATTGATGAACTTAATAAATAGTTCTTATGTTTTACTGACACTGTTTAGATGAAATGGCCGCCAGATTGATGAGCAAGTGTTGCGTGCATGTTATTACAAGTCTGTCACTTTTCTATTTTGCAAAAGGTGAGTATACATAAATTCTCTCTCTCTCTCTCTCTCTCTCTCTCTCTCTCTCTCTGTAGATGAAGAAAAAACTAATCAAGCCCACGAAATTTAATGAAGCTCCAGAGGGAGATATTCGTTGGGTTCCTTATCAACCTGCGTGAACTAGACTCGTCTTTTATAACGTATTGTACGTTTAAAAACACCTACCAGTTCAACATTTCAGGGCATATCCACCAACGGGAATTAGTTAAAGACAACTTTTCATTCTAAGAATATACAGATGCTTTCATGCATTGTATGGAGCTGTTTGCAAAGATCAAACTGAATACAGCATTTTAAATGTCAGTGCAAATTTACATTTGTTGCCTAAAGGGGTTTTAGGGACAATTGATTTTGTCAGTTGTATTTAGCTCATTTGTCATTGGCACAAAAAAAATAAATAAATAAATAAATAGCAAATGGGAAAATGTACTTACTTGAACTTTTACAACATGGCATCTCCATTTTAGTCGTGTCACAAAGCAGGGATGACGTCATCCTGGGAAGCACGTTCACCATATTCTGTCACGTGACTCTCATTCCCGACGGGCACTACCTGATAACTTGGCTTAAAGAACACCGAGGTAGTGATTCTCAACTCTACCAATATTCCATCACCAAAACCAAGACCCACATATCTGTTAGAAATACCACTAAACTAGACTTTTTAGATGGTCGAATATTACAAGCCGAGGTGGAGCCGCCGCATGTGGCGACTGGGAAGTTGAACGTTGGAAATTTCTATCTGATACTTCGCGTCCCTGATGCAAGAATTACAGACGTTGGAAATTATTCGTGTTTTGCTCAGTTCATGGACCAGGGCCCTGTAGTAAACATCAGTGGTCAGGTGAACCCTCAAACTATTGACGTCATAGGTGGGTCGGGAAAGATAAATCTAGGAAATACTGTATTACTCCTCTGCGTAAAGCTTGTTGTGATCATTACATGGTTTCTTTTTCTTTTTTTTTTACGTTCGTGGTTTTTATTTGAGACTAAAGAAAATGAATTTGAATAAAATAGGAGGTATACTTTTCAGTCTATTAAAAGTGCTTATCACATTGTTTGGGCAATTATTTGTAATTATTACTCTTAAAAAATTGTTTTGAAGCTTACAATATGTTGTGTTCAAAATACTCCCCACGCCCTTCAAACTTTGCGTCGTTTCGAATAATTGACAAATTGCTATTAAAATGCGTAATTTAGGTCCGCCGACTGCGCCAACACTGACTAGTCTCCAATATCCCAACGGGACCGTAGCTGTAACATGTAACTCAACCCATGGTCACCCGCCACCACAGATACAGTGGTACCAGTTAGAGGAGAAGTTCACTCCTGACAGGGACATGGTCTCACGAGGCACAGCCTGTTTGCAGGAGATGAATGCTTACTGCCTTGTCCCTAGCGTGTCAGAAACGCTAACAGTGGCAGGTAACATCTCGGCGTTTTATAGGTGCGAGACAGTTCACTCTACCGGCAGTCTCAGCAGTCCATCACTGATCCTACTTGGCCTATTCGACATAGGTGATGGTATGGTGAAATTAATATATATATATATATATATATATATATATATATATATATATATTTAAAATTTATTTTTAACAGTAATTATATTGCCATTACTAATACCATGGGCCTACTGTAGGTGTCTACTTTGACTTGTATTCAATTGTTTATCAACATCACTTTGCTGTTTAACGATTGTAATTTATATTTACATTTATATTCATCACACCAATAGGCCTTTTTGTATTCAACAACATAACAAAAGCGACTTGGATGGAATTTCACAAGGTCAATCCCAACGTTGCTGAAAGGAGCATTCATTTATGTGTCAATAATATTATTTGTTTATTTACTTTCTCAAGTTGACCTAACGCCCGGTCACAGTTCATTGTGGAAATACGCAGGGGTAGGTGTTGGGGCGGCGCTTATCATCGCGTCCCTCGTAGTGATGGCTAACTTCGATCGTGTAAGCAAAAGGTGCAGGAAGAAGGCAGAAAATACGGGTAAGCCACATGTTATTCTCTGTCAGAGATCACTTAAAAGGAGATCAGTCAGTTCGTTATAATGGAAGCTGATTTTCAATCAAGGAGCAAGTATTAGGTCTAGGTCGTATGTTATAATTTTTATAATCAATCTCCCTCGTTGGCAAGAAAAGTAACTGTGGATAACAAGAAAAATGCGTGTTGCGTTACAGAAAGCGACCGTCAGCCAAAAGGTCAATACATAGACAAAAGGAGAAGTACGGAAAGCACAGATGTTTATGATATTGAAAACGAAACTCAGGTATGTGAGCTAGCTTAAGGGCATTTCAAGATTATTAAATTCCAGGGTAACCTTCTCTCTCTCTCTTCATCTCTCTCTCTCTCTTTCTCTCTCTCTCTCTTATCATTTCAGTCTCTCTCTCTCTCTCTCTCTCTCTCTCTCTGTACATCTTCATCAATCAGTAATTTAGACATCTAACTCACAGATGGATCCATGTGGGTTTATTGTAAAGCAATCTTTAAATATCTTATAACTATTGAAATGTTCAGCAAAAATTCTTAAACATGGCTTTACAGTTAACACAACACCACTCCATTTGCTTTTCTCCATTTGGGTCAGAAATATTCAGATCCTGGATCCAGTTTATCAGAAAACAAGGATAGCACACTTCAATAAAAAAAAGTTAAAATCACATTAGAAATTCTTAAAATGTGACATTTCTGTATTCAAAAAATAAGAATCTGGCTTTTAACCATATTACATATGTTTTAAAAAGATTATGTTATTATTGGAACCAATTAGCAATTATCAAATTTGACTAAATAACATCACCACAAGCAAACTAGTTGCATTGACTGCATTCACATTCAAACATCATACCAGTTGGATTGATCCAATTCTGCAAGGGATTCTTGCTAAATTGCATTCAGNTTTCTCTCTCTCTCTCTCTCTCATCATTTCAGACTCTCTAGATTTCTCTCTCTCTCTCTCTCTCTCTCTCTCTCGTATACTTGTATTCATCATTATTTCAGTTGGCGTAACAAGCTGTAAAGAAACAAAACCTTGGGACAAACAGGTCGCCAAATAGGAGAGAAAGCAGAAGACAAAACCGTTGGCAATATTTTACATCTTTATTATTTTTGAGTCGCTATAAAATAGTTGTACATTTGTATAAAGATTACAGACTTTTACGTGAAGGTTCCCATCATCTTCATCGACACGAATCGTGAAGTACAGTAATAAACAAGTATTTGACACGCAGACTTCCTCAGTTAACTTGTCAAAGTGTCAGATTGTGCTGGACAGCGAACCCCCCAAGCTGACCCAGTGTGAGAAACGACAAAGACCAGTGATCAAAATTTGACTCAGAGCGGGAAAGAGGACGATTCGTTCGCCCCCCCCCTGCTACGGGCCATAATCGTAGAGTATTTCTAATACGTATCATTCAGATTATCTTTAATGGTTTACAGTATTTTATTGTCTGTACATAACTTTAATCGTAGGATTTTATGAAGTAAACCAATGCAAATAAACACAAAAATCGGACGTTTGTTTAGTATATTTTCTTTATTTCTTAACTGAGAGATTGATGGCGCACCGACGGGCCACTGAGTAAAAAAGCCGATGCATAGACGTAAAAGTAATGATTGTGAAAGACAAAAGTACAGAAAAACAGTCATACAACACATAAATTCGACATAGAAAAAATCCGACAGCACACCACTGTATAGTATGCCTCACCAAGAATGTATTAATTGTATTTATACACAACACTTTTAAGTGTTAGAAATTGAAATTTAAAACTTCCAAGTTATCTTTGTCTCATTGTGACTCCAATGAGACATTGGTTGATAAATCTATCTACATGTATAGTGTGCGGCAGTCGAGGCTATTTCAGACCTGCCACATTTGCCCTATGTTCAGTGGGGAGATAAGTATGTAATAATAAATAATGCTGAGGGTTCAATCCTCCCATGCACTTATTAATGCATATGTTAGGGCACCCCCACAGGCTTCCATATTTCCCTAAAGGAGGAGAAGTTATACACTCTAAGACAAACGAATGACTAAATACTCAGTCCTGCACTACATGTAAGTACCATGTTGTATCTATTTTTAAAGTGCTTTAATTTTTCGCAGTCGGGGAGGGGGGATGTTGGAAAGACCTTCCTTTCTAGATACCAAAGATGCGTTCACATAAACGTTTACATATTGCATAAAACAGAAATAATAATGATAATAATAATAATAATAATAAACAATAACAACAACAACAACGACAACAATTGTCGATATGTATCTAGGGCCGTTTGAGCACAAATCCTTTCATTCCAGTCATTGAGTTCGATTGCCATATCTTTCATGTCAGGACTGTTCTCCCAATATTTACATAAACGTTACTAAATAAAAACTGACTAGCTGTCCAGTTCAATTTTCCAAAGAGTAACCACCTTTTTAAAGTTTACTAGAACGATTCCCTTGATATTGCTGGCAATGAGGCGGCAATACTGACTTTTGCCATCCATCCATTTATTCTGCCAGTCTATGCCTCTTCTTTAATGCGATGCATATCAAATGTGTATAATAAGCTCTTATGTCCCTTGCTCATACCAGTTTTAAAGCCGATGCGTTTTGAATTTTCTTGTTCCGTAGCGTATATTGTATTGCTTTATACTTTTGCATCTACTGTATTTTTATTTATATTAAAAAAACAGTCTTACAGCGATAAAATACGTCTTCTTCCCTAGGCTAGGCAAATAAAAGGAGCTAAACGCATCCGCGAGGCTGATATCACAATTGCGTTAGTTGAGCTTGCGGCGCAACCCATTGTGCTGGACGTTACATCCGAATGCTGAGTAGATTTAGTGTTTCAAAGAAGTTCGTCCTCTCTGTCGTCGTATAATGCTGGAAGACCAAAAAATTAGTTTGAAGAGAATGTAGTCTAAAAGATTTCCCTTTATATTATCGTTTTATTATATGTTTATGTTGTCACTTACTTCCTTATTATCACGTCATGATTTATTCTACGAGATCAAGAGAAAGGGTATCTTCAAACACACAAACGTATTAATCAGCATTATCAACATGCTTAGGGCTTTACCTGAAGCTATGGAGTTATTGTTCTCATTATCTCGCTCTGGGTCGCAGCCGTGGTCCTGATCTGGTGTGATAGAGTGAGCGCCATCTGCCGGGATATAGGTGACAGTAAGGGAAGATTTGTCTGGAAAGACACAGCATAAAGTGAACGAAAAAAGTTGATGCGCCTCCAGCTGTGTAAAGGAGCGTGTGCCAAAAGCGCATACTTAATGCAAATGTAAACAAATTACTAGAATGTGAACTCTGTGGTTTTATAACTTGAGTTGGCAGATATGGGAATGTATTGTTTACGTAAATAAAAATCTATATTTTTCTAAAAAAAAAAAAAAAGGGGGGGGGGTTAGAAAAACCCACCTGATATCGACCTGGCGCTACAGTTGACGAAAGCTTCGATGTCGTTACAGCGACATCTATCGAGTTTAAAGCTGCGACTTCTTAGCCGCTTACGGACGGTGTACACCATAACTCCCACCACGATGAAGAATGAGATCACGATTAAAATAGCCACCACAATCGCCAGAGGACTGGCCCCTGGTTTGGGCGGGCTTGGTGTGTTATTGGCGATGATGACGTAGTGATTGCCAGAACCTAGAAAAAAAGGAAAAATTAGACACATCTTAACTGTATATTGTACATAGTATATAAGTTTTTCATTTAAAGTAAGTGAAACCCGTACAGTGTCCTTTGCCGTGTGTAAAATATCACATTCTCTTTTATAAAGTCCGAAAATGTCGCCGTAGTTGCTACGTAATTAGCCTTTAAATTTTGTCTTTTATGACTTCTTCTTATAGAATTTCCAATATTTCCATATTAGAAAGTACGGGGAACTTAAAAACAGTATATTATATATTAAGGTCGCGAATATATTTCTAATATTCACAAAAAATAGCAAATTTGATATCAAGATATCTGGCCTCAATTCGTTATACCGGGGTACATATCGACATAAGTAACACACCTGAGCGACCCCCGTGCATGTAGTCAGCTCTAATACTGTCACTGCGATAGTTCCCCGTAGGATGGCGGCTTTCACAGGCATATGTCACTGACGAATTGTCCTGTACCGCTATAGTGTCCGTGATGAAATACCCTCCGCACATGCCCTCGCCCTGACTAGAAGCAGAACACGTTTCTTTGTGTTCAGATTTCACGCTACTCATCTCCTGATCGTTTTCAAACCACCTGAGCTTTGCTGGGGGTCGACCCCCCACGGAAATACAAGTGAGCAACGTGCGGTTGTCCGACATCCGCCTGCTAGAGATCATCGGCAACTCTGGAGTGACTGAAAAAAAAAAAAAAGTTCAATATTAACGATGAAAGGACATACAGTGTGTAAGAAACAGTTGGTACACAAATTGCAGGGGTGCAGTGCTGAGCTGTTCACTAATATGACGTCAGAATGCTTAACAGGTCCCCAGTCTACGACGCAAGTTGCCGAGGAGGTCTTTGATAAAATTGATATAATAAGTGATGTTTTAACAGGAAAGTCTATGTAAAATCATTTGATTTTTGCGGTCATAGGGCTCTGATGTTTGGTTCTTTCTAGATAACAAATAAATAAATTTAAAAATCACTTAAATACATATGGTGTTGAAATAAAATTTATGACGTCATACAAAAACCTTCGCCTAATTTGGACCCTTTTAGACGTCACACACGGTTCATGCGTCGTCATTACATTTACCTGTCATGGTAACTTGCATAAGTTTTTCACTCTTCTTTACTTTATTTCCGTCTACAGACACTTGGCACGTATAATTCCCTTCATCTCTGAGTTCTGACTTCATAATTGCCACTCTTAGCTTAATGTCATTTGGCACTGGTATCAGTTGTGACGGCATTGTGACGAAATTAATATCTCGACCAATCAGATCGCTTAGAGTTTTATTCTCCGAATTCATGCCTAGGACGTATTTGAATATGACGTCAGGTGGCTTTTCCGCACTGGTCTGTTTAAACCACTCGACGGATAAGAAAAAACGTCCTTCATCTGGGCCCAGTGTGAAATTGCACCAGGCGGTGAAAGGTTCACGTAACTCCACATATCTCTCCTCCGCCCTGTTGGTTATCGTTAAAGCAGTGCATACTGAAAAAGAGGAAAGATTCCTAAATTTCAATCATTGACTCATAAATCTCGCAACGTATATTTCAGTTTTACGAGATAAGACCCGCGCCTAAAGGAAAAATAGAAAATTCACTGGAAACGTGCAAGTCACATGACTGACTAAATATACAGTCGCAAAAGGCATGTTTTAGTAAACGTATAGGCACGGCAATATGTAATTCATGAATAGAGTTCAGTCAGATTACACTTCCCAACGTAAGATATTGTGAAGGAAAGTTAATATATTTGGGGACTAAAGCATCTGCACGACAATTTAGAGGTACACTGTAGAAAAGAAACCTACTGACCATCTGATGTAATTGCCTCGCATTACGCATTAAATGGTAAATTGTGAGGTACAGCTGGATTACTTGCGAATGATCTGTATATATCAATGAAAATATTTTAGACGAAGTTATTTAATTTATACGTATCAATCCATAAACTTTTCCACAGCAATTGACCGAAGACGAACCCTTAAATGAGTTTTTATTTGTCTTTTCAAGGCATGGACAATAGTGAGTTAGGTGTCAGGAGCCAACGGTTTCACACAAGCTCTAGCGCTTCCACTTTTTCTCCCATTTTTCTTGTTTGTTTATCAGTTATTTCCAGCTGCCATTTATGTTTTTATGTTTGTTCATTGAATAATTGATCCTGCATCCGACGGTAGTGTACACGAAGCGTGAGAGACGGACACATTTATAAAACTCCGGGTATAAAATGTCATACACAAAGTCAACAACCAAACACAACAATGAGGGTTAATGGAACTGGAAATGGGCGCATTAGTAGATTACCTGTTTCAAAGGACCTTTGTGTAAACTTCCGAGAATACGTTGTATGAAGATCTCCGTTTTCAACATCGGGCTTAGAAAATGTTTTCGCTTCAGAATTTTTTCAATAGCATTAATGTGATACACTCTGGCGATAATATAGCCATTAGCAGGTGTGAGTGGGATTGAAATAAGCAAGCCATGGTGAAGAAGTTTCATATTCTACCTTTATTTTCTATTTCTACATATTTCAGGAAATTCCATTTGAGAACTTGACAGAAACCCCTGTGAGCAGAAATTCTTTAACTTATTTACTTCATCTAAAATTTCAATTCTAAATCTAAAGCTACCCCACCTGAAACTTCCCACTGATACCCTTCCAGCCCATTTCCCAAACAACACTCAACGCCCGTCCTCAAAAGGGACATGGGGAGAAATATCAGACCCACAGAGAAACAGTTAAGTAATCGTAAAGGCCCTGCTATATTTACCAAAAACCATTCATATTCGCAGAATAGAGGGGTATTTCCCAACCTTCTCTAAACTGGGCCGGTGAATTGCTTACCTCTGTGCACCTAATTCCTTTTTAATTTTTGTTTTTTATTGAATTGAATTTAACGCTATAGACGTAGGAATACCAGCCCGTCATTTATGTCCATAAAACTTTGACGCACAATTCATTAATACTGTACATGCCCAGATTTCCAAAGCAATACACTGACCGATTCGTGTTAAAAAAGTATTTGAATGTCACATATCATGCTAAAACCATACTACCGTCAGATGTTGAAATGTGGCCTCATCAAAAAAAGTTGTCTAGTTCAGTAATAGCATTCATTTCTACCATTAAATCCTTTAAAACATTATATACAAGAAAGTAATGACAGAGAGTATCGATTAAAAACGTCGGTAGCCAAACACAGAGGGCATCCCTTAAATTAAATATTGAAGCTTGTATAACAAAGAATGAAAGTGCAAAATTAAGAGAAGCCAATGAAAGAACAATATTTACAAAGAGGAGCTTGAAGTTATTTCTTGGTGACATCTGTGGTGATTCTGAGCCTCCCTTTCATTGAAAACAAACAACACGTATTCCCTTAGACTTTACAGAGTAGCATGCATGGAAATAATGATGCCAAAATACCTAGGGTTTGTTGAACGTGTGGATATTTCCAAAAACAAAAACACGTTCAGAGAGAGAGAGAGAGAGAGACGATTCGAAATTTATTCTTATATTGCAATTTAAGGTTGTTTTAAAAAACAATGGCTTAGAAAAACATGAAAACAAATAACCGTAAAATATGAATAAAACATAAGACAGATAATTTCTTCTTTAAGCCTTGGTATACACACAGTAATACGATGATAAATTTTGCGTGACAAATTGCGTCCATAGAGTAGACGAATCGTTAAGCGTACAACTGTTAAATAGCAAATCTATAATGCATAATATTTGAGATATTTCCGAACAAGGTAGCAATATCAGGTACAGTAAATCCATTTTACCTATTTTCACTGGTAATTATTTATCGATTCAACCAAAGGCGGTGAAGAGAATCGCCATACTTTCCAAGAGCGGTATTCTCTTCAACTTTGGCGTTATCAATTATTAATTTTACTAATGTGTTTTGTTGTTATTGTGAATGAAATGTCAGTTGCCAATGAACGAAGAGGACAAAGACGAAAACAATGTTTGGTTACTGTACCGGTATATAATTCTGAGTCTCTTGGGTAGGTTAGTTAGCGGAAGATCGACAAATAACTCAAAGGCAGCCTATACTATAGGGGGCGATTTCTCTGTGTTTTGACATAAAGGGAGTGCCGATTGTACTGCGAATGATCAGAAAAATATCATTTACAGTTCTGCCCCCTCTTTTAACGAAAAAGATATACCCTGGTAAAAATGATTTCGCTGTCAAATAATAAAAATCTTACTAATTGAAGGATGAAGAGGTCTGAATATGGCACACAAGTAGGATAAAACCGTTTTTCTCTATTGCAATTAACTTCCTCTTTTATAAACAATACCAACGCATTATCTCTGAAAACCAATAAAACAGCCTCCTACACTTACATCAACAGTTAAGTCACACTTAACAGGAAAACAATTACAAGGGGAAAACATACAGCGGTTTGATTCCTCAGCTGGGTGAAACACTATCGGTTAGAATTCAATGGAGAGCACACAGTCGAGACACATGCTCGATAACTGACCCGCGGCGCGATCAATAAGGAATCAATTTCCATTCTAACCTATTGTTTCAAATAAAGAACACTAATCATCCATTTAAGGGCCTGGCGGGAAGATTATAATGCACGACATAAGGGTAGTCAGGGCAAGGGTTCAATTACGCAGACCCCGACCCTCGTTGAACCTCGTTGTTGGTATTCCCCGGCATGACGAGGTATTGATTCGGAATCAAACACAAAACAACACGTGTTTAGCCGGCAGAGATTGATCCGTGATCAATTAAAACAATTCTCTGTTACGGCGTCTTGTACGGGTCTCGGTCCTTAAGCGGTCCCTGAAGAGGAGGATTATATTTTGATCATACAAATTCATCCTCTACTTGTAACTGCTTAACTTCCGTCGGGTTCCTACTTAAAGTAATTGACTACGGAGTGGATTACTACAAATCGTATGTACAGACGAGTTAGGTTAAGCGAGTGCGCGTGACACGTGGCGAGGAATTTGATTCCTCGGGACGTGACTAGACATTAATATATTTTTTAACAAATTCTTGCCTGGCGTAGTAACATTATACTCAAAGGGTAAATCTACAACTTTTTTTCATGTTTCATTTCTGATGTACACTGTGTTTTTTTTTAGCCAGGATGAAGAGGTCTGAATCTTTGCTTACATTTCTTTATTATAAATCTTTTTTGCTTACATTTAAATTGACAACTTACAAAGACGATCCACTTTAAGCTCATACACGTACGTATATACACACACTAATGCCACGTACAGAACAAACACACGTACACCAACATACCAAAGAATAAAATGTCCGAATAATAGTATAACTTTCACTTCCGACCACTGTAGCGCTTTAAGACACGACAACAAGAACCCGGTAATTAAGTAATTAATATTTGTAATAATAGAGCTACTAACAGAGCTACGAATCGCTATCATAATTAGACCCCATCACCTGTAACAGCATCATTATTTTCATTCTAAACTGCCCTTAGTTCCCGTATGGCTGGAAAAGCCCCATCGGGGAGATAACTTGAATGTACATTATTGACTCCGAAGCGTCTGTATCACTTGCGATAGATTAAGCAAATACTATTTGATAAATTGCTCAAGTCAGCGTAAGAATTATACCCCCAAGACCTTTCTTACTGCCCCATTTATCATGACCGTTAGATAATCAGAGAAATACGTTTATGTGTTCTGTATTTGTGATTGCGAAAATAGTGTAGAGTATAATCGGTGTCACTAACTTCAAAGAAAACATATATCCTGCATTTGAATTGTAAACTATGTTCATATTTATATTACAGACGCAAAATTTATTATGCAATAATAGATTATATATAATACATAACGTAGTGAAATACGGGTTTAATTATATTGACTATGATTTGTGGACAATTCCATGCCCCCCTACAAGAACGGACAAAACTATAGCGGAGCAGGTAATACGTTTCACAGTAAATTAGAGACGAATTTCCGAGGTTGACCTGGGCAAAAATCAATTAATATTTGTAACGCGCAGTTTGTGTATGAATTCAAATACACCCAGGAGAAACGGTTTTATTAAATCTTAGACGAAGATGGTACCGTGTCGGCGTTTATCGTTACCAATGGAGTCGCATTTCAGTCCTTGAGTGGGTTTTATTGCGATTTTCGACAGAAAAAGAATCCCTCAACAGCAATAGAAAGCTTGGTCAGGACCATAACCAAACATATGAAATTTTCTTATGTCTCCATAAGTTAAGTGCTGATCATGATTAAATGCTGGTAGATTACTGTCCTACGTTTCACTGGATTGCGGAGACGGTAAACGAAAGAACATTAAATGCTGGTGAAATGAAAATGTCAAGTTAAGCAGGTGCACCGAACGCCTTTAGATTCAGAGTGACGAAAATACTGGTTTAGCGAAGACAATTGATTGATTCAAGAAACTGAAAATCAGGGGGATCAAAAGCGAATATACTGATCCACATACTAAAAGAAATGTCTCAAATCGGCCTCCAAAG